TTACTAATTACGCTCGGCTTGCAGTACGCTGGCCAGCGAGCTGCTAAATTTATAGGCTGTCTTGGCTGTTGTGGGCGTGGCCAGCGTCTTGTTTTGCATTTACAAATTGAAAATATGTTGGCCAAAAGCCCGACTGCCGCCTGCCAAGTTACGTCTATGACAATGGCGCCGCATTTAGTTGCAACATTTTATTGGTGACTTTTTGGCAGAGTTTTCCATTCACTGCTGCAGCTTCTGTTGTTGTTGTTGTTGCTGCTGCTGCTGCTGGCGCTGTTGTGGATGCTGTCACTGGCTGCTGTACTCGTAAATGTCAGGCCAGGCATTTGCATTTCAATTTCCATTACAATATACAATTCGTAGCACCAACATTGCGATAGACGCCCACCTAAGCTGCCACGCCCCCTCTCCGCTGCTGTTTGGCCGCGATTAGCGCGCTATAAATCTACAAATTTCGCTGCATTTTAACAATGTTTTTAGGTTCGCTCTGCCAGCCAATTTCGTCCGCTACGCCGACTGTCGTTGCTGCCAGTGTTGTTAAACGCATGCAGCGGCCATAAACCAAATCATTCAGCGCAGCCACGCCCCATTGAGAGCCGTAAAACAAATATCAGCGCTCCGAGCGCCGATCAAAATGCTCCAAAATATGCAACTCATTTTGCCAAAGCTGGCAAAGCCCCGCCCGCATTTGCATTATTTGCTGCCCGATACGCATTTAATTATTAGTCCAGCTCTCGGATTTGTCCTGATATACACTGATGCCAACTTATAGCCCCTCTGTGTATGCCACCCACACACTGTAATCAATAATAACAAAATTCAACGAAAATGTAATAGAAGATAGAGGGGCTTACTGGTGCAGATCGAATTTATTCCTTAAATCAATTTATATTTTATTGTTGTTTCATTGTGATATCAAATCGTTTGTCTCTATTCTACATCATTGAGAGATAGAGATGGAATATAAACTTACATTATTATACCAATGACAATTAATTTCTGAAGTTTGGTCTGAAATGCATGCATCCATCAGTCATTCAACATTCTCTCTACAAAGTTGAAATGCTAAAATGGGCCTCTGTACGTTTTTATTTAAAAGCTTACAAATATTGCTCCTTCACAGTATTTTTAAAATCTTTTTAGTTTCATTGGAAAGTTTGACCAGGAAACTTTTAAAAAATCTCAATAAAAATATAAGTTTTCATTTAAGCTGCATCAAAGCTTTTTAATTATCTTCTTAGTGTTGCTCATACTCTTTTAACTTTGTTTAACTTTGTTTTAACTTTGTTTAAATTATTCCCTGACGAAATGCAAATTGCAAAACGGATTAACATATTATAAATTAAGTTCTTAATATGTTATCGCATTGTTCTGAGCATATTCCGTCGAGCTCTTTTTTACTTACTGTAAGAGTCTGCTAATTTTTGTATACCAAAATGAAATGTACAATAGATAATTGAGCCTAATTGAAAAAAAAAAAAAACAACAGAAATAAGTTAATTAATAAACTCATTAAATAGTAAACGAACAACTAAATGCTTCTTTAGAAATTTAAATAGAGCAAAATAGATACCCACCAAAGCTAATTACAAGAAATAATATAATAAATAATTAATAAACGCATTTTAGTTCCATGTTCTATGAACTGGGATGAATTACAAAAAAAAGCATCAATAAATTAATTTTTGTTTCTCATCAAATTAATTAGCATACATGTGTACATATGCTTATATGATACATACACTTGATATACGTATATTTCTAATATTAAAAGTGCAATAAAACAGAGAAAGCAAAATCCAACATAATTCCATATCTGATAGAAAGCACTTGAGTTGCTCAAAACAATATTCTGCTGTTGGTTCTTAAAGCCCTCTTTAAAAGTCTTATTGCGTATGTGAATAGCTGCGGCGCTGTTGCCACGAGCGACCCTTGATTCAAATTTTCGCTGTGTCAGAAAAGTTTTTACAGAATTCACAGCGTGTCGTTTAGAGCTTAAGTTTGGGAGGCATTCTTGTGGCACTCGTTCTTTAATCCCTTTGTATAGCTCCAGCAGGCGCCAACATTTTGCTTTTTCATTTTCTGTTACGCATACGCCAAGTGTGTGCGTGCGTGTGTGTGTATAAGTGCGTGTCGATAGCGCAGCTATATATGCGTACAAGATGAACTTTAAGCAGCACGATGAGAGAATGACTGCACAATTATGGGAAAGCTGGGAGTGGGAGATGGGAAATGGGAAATAGGTAGCGGGGGTAATGGGTAAAGTGGCCGAGTCTTAGCTGCAACCAATGGGTCGTAAATATTATGGGCAGGTAAGCGATAGGGGCCTGGCTGTTGTTGTTTGCTGTTGGTGCAGCTGCCGTCTCTATAGCACATGCGCGTGCACACTTGGGTTGCACTTTGTGCTGCCGTTGCGTCGGCTGAATGTGGCACAGCAGCAGCTAATTAAGACAAACTAACCCTAACGTGTGCGTATGGTCTGGCCCGGCCTGCTCTGGTCTGGTCTGGTCTGGCTTGGGCGGGGCTTTGGGAGCATTGCCAGTGTCCTTGGTCGCTGCGGGTGGCTGAGCTGCTCAAGGACGACAGAGAGCCCTACTACGGTGCTGCGCGAGTGTTTTGATATACGGCTTTGCTACAATCACAATGTGTTTACAAGGAGCACAACAGAAAACGCCGCATGTGAGCCCCGTGAGCCAAGTGCACTTAATTTGTTTGCTTAATTTACAAAACATGCTGGATGTCGCAGCAGTGCCCCACATCGCTGCCATGCCGGCACATGTAAGGCCTCGCAACGGCTTGGGCTGATTTGTGCAAAGGCTATCCGGTGCCTGTTTGCCAAGCTCTCGCCACTTGCCTGGCGAAGACGCCCTACACATACTTAAAGGCAAGTGTTGGCTACGACAACACGGCTATCTCCACCTATCAGCTACAAGGCTGTGTAGGTGCGCCCGTACTCTGTGTGTGTGTGTGTGTGAGTGTGTTTGCAGTTGGGTCATAGCCCAAATTATGCAATGAGATACACAAATGGCACTAATGCCCAGCACTGAGCCTGTGGCATAATTGCCCCGGCACTTAAAGCACAACAGGAATTAATTGAGTGGATTCGAACGACTTGTAGTTATTTACAACACAATGAAGGGCTCACTGCGCTGCACTTGTTGTATGGAATTGTTTCAAATTGATCCTTTGTTGAGAATAATATTAAACGAGTTCATATGTTACTTACTTGTTTAGTTTATGATATACTTACTTTTCTGTGCTAATTATGTAATAATATAATTAATATTTGTTTGAAAGATTCTCGATATTCACTTTAAGTAAAATTTTGTAAATTAAAACTAATTTAAATAAAAGACGATTAAATATTTTTGGTTTTATTTCTTTATTTCATTATATAATTTTGACATTATCATTAATAATTTTGAGCTAAGTTCTGTACGCTTTGGCGTTTTTGTTTTTGTCTTCTATGGCGTGCTTTGATTTTGCTTCAAATTTGTTTTATTATTATTTTTATTCTTTCATCCTTACCACTCACAAATTTTATTATAGTTATGCAGTTTACTTTAATATATCCTTTTGGTTTGTATTCACTTTTGTTTTAACATTGTTCTTTACTTATTTCGTTAAACTTTATCTTTTAATATTTGTTGGTTTTTGTTTTAGTTTTCCTGTAATTTAGTTTGATTTTACATTTAATTATTTTTTAATTTCAACATTTTTGCTCGACATTTGATTTTGCTGTTGAAGCCCACACAGATGTGTGTCGCTTGATTTGATTTATATTAAATATTCTGCTTAGCCTAGACGAGGCTTATGCATGGTAGGGCTCGAGGCTACTTGGAAAAGTAGTTGCTGAACTCTAAGGAATTTCCATGTAATGCATAAACTCTGTTTTTCTTTTCTTTGAATGCGCATAAGCCCCTGTAGTTTATCCTATTTATAGATGTTGCTCTGTTTTAAATTTGATTTTTATTTTCATTTGTATTTCTTTATTCGACTAACACTTAACATAAGTACGGTTTCTTTTTAAGTTGTACAATTATTCTAAACATTTTTCATATAAATATATTTAAGTGTAGCGTAAAATAGAGTTCATCTTTTGCAGCTAACAAGAATGCTTCACAACAAACAGGAAAACGGCAAACCAATCGAAAAACTCAACTGAAAAATTGGTAAATGAAAAAGCCCGCAAATGAACCACAACGCGAAAATTCAATTAAAATGGCTTTACTTACATCCACATTACGCATCGCGAATTTCATATAACTATTGTTTTATTATTATTATGTTATAATTAGACTCCCATTCGAACATTAATTAATGTTTGTTTATTTTAGTGTTTTATTTAACGTGCCATCCAATCTCGCATGTATCTATGTATTGTTGTTGCATCTCGTTCATCGCGTTTATGTTTTTTACTTTCGCATTCTTTGTTTGTTTTTAATTTTTACAAATTATATTTACATAGCTTACGTATCTAGGCTGCGGTTGTTGGAGGGTAGGGTGTACTTAATGTTAAATTATTTTCGACTTATGTTATTAATTGTTTTTATGTTTTTTACTGCTTCCTCACTATTTTCCTCTTTTTTTTCGTTACTTTTAATGTAAATTATTTTGCAAATGCGTGTTGCATTTTTTTTTTTTCAAATTCATGGATTTGTTTATTTAGTTTATTGATTTTTATTATATTTATATTTGTATTTTCGCTTTCTCTCTCTTTCTGGCATCATGGCACGCCCACAGCAGGCCGTTTCGCCCTGACTGCATTAAGTATATTTATTTTCTTTTTTTTTTTAGTTTTTTAGTAATTATTTAAACAATTCGTAGCTGTTCGCTGATTTGTTGTGTGTGTAATTAACCGCGGGCATTTTGTAATCTCTTGTTTTCAGCTCAGATTTGATTCGTTCTCAATAGTTACTTTAAAATGAGTGGGCCTGAATCGGAATCGGAATCATAATCATAATATTTCTGCTGCAACAGCGTGAAATATATTAATTTTCAACGTAAACTAACAACAACAACAACTGAAATTGAACGGGTTACCCACAAGGACATGCAGCGCCGCGTTCACAACGGGAGTCCGTTAACGTTTTCCAAAAACCATTCCTTTCTATTTTTTTTATATTTTTTTTTTTGCTTGTTTTTTCATTTGTTTGTATTTTTTGGCTTTTTTTTTATAATTTTGCTGCACTTTTGTGCATTGTTTGCATTTGTTATTTTTTAATTACACTTCACGGGCTGCCCACTCAAAGCCTGTGCCTGTTGTTGCTTCTTCTGCTGGTATTATTGTGTCTGTTCGACCATTTGCTTATGTGGCATATCCATTGTTGTGCTCCGGTCACAGCTGAGCCGCCACCAGGGTCGCCACGGCCAGAGTCAACACGCCAATGGCACTGCAGCTGCACTGTGCTGCGCCAGTGAGTGCTGAATTGTCCGGATCGCCATTGACGTAGCGCTTGGAGCCCTCGAGGCCCAGCAAATTAGGTGAAATGGTTGTGGGTGGCGCCATGCTGAGCCCAATGCGTTGCTGAACATTCTTGTGGAAGACATGCAGAATGGAGACCTCGCAGAGCAGCAGTATGCTGGTCTGGTACTTGGGCATCGCCTGGAAAAAGCCCTGCAGCACCTGGCTATGTGGATAGATCTCTAGCGAGGAGTACGTGGTCGAGCCCTCGAATGCGTCCTGCGTGATGCGCTGCAGCGGCGTTTTGTATACCTGCGGCACGGCATTAACTGATCAACACCTGGCGGCCAAAAGTGCATAAGTAATTGCTACCCACCTTGCGTCCGTTGATATACCATGTGATGTTCGCCGGCGGATAGGAGGGCCCCACCGTGCACACGGCCTTGAAGTTGTCGTTGACGCCAATCACCTTCTTGTCCACCTGCATGGCCGGATCGTCTTTGGGCAGCTCAATCACCTGCATGTGCGCCGAGCGAATGTCCGTATGAAAGAGCGGCGCATCCTCCGACACCTCGCACTGATAGCTGCCAGTGAGATCCCGTGTGACCCCCTTTAGGGTGACCGACGTTGCATCCGAATTGGTTAGCTGCAACGAGAGCGAATTCACATTTTATTTAAAAATTCAATTTCCACGCTTTCATTTCTTGATTCAATTGGATTAAAATGCAAAATTGTGTTCAAGAGCCCGTAATTGAGGACGTCATGTGGCCCGGCCATTTTGTTTATTATACTCTTTGCCAGCACGGCCTACTGCGCTTAATCAGCATGCGATGCCAGCAGAATACAGAGTTTAAATTGAAAACTCGTATTGATTCGCCTTTATCAATGGGAGCATGCTGAGCATGCTGCTTAGAATACGTAACCTACATGATTTTTGTTTTATATATCAATACAGTTCGATTAACATCAATTAGCAATTGAGTTAACACGATTTCTGGGTGAACATTTAAAAAAAAAAAAAAAAATGAATTAAATTTCTTGTATACTGATTGATTGCATTCAAAAGCTACAGAAGCAATAATTCGGCTGCTCCATTTCTTCGTGTTGCTCATAGAGAGGGCGTGAAGGTAGGAGAGAGTGTACAATCGTCGTCAGATTTGTGCAAATTGTGAACTCGCAGTGATAATTGGCAGCAACCGCTGGGCCACTTGGCTCAATTCGAGCAGAGTATGCTGTTCAAAATCCACTTTAAACACACAACAGGAGCAGCAGCAGCAAAATCAGCAGCAGGAGTTGCAGCACCAGCAGCCACGATTACCATGTGTGTTGTTCACTGTGTTGCAGATTTGAGGAGCCTGCATTTAAGTGCAGGAAAGCCTTTCACGTTTTGCATATGCCGCCCAATGCTGCAGATGTTTTTTGTTCATTTGCATCTGCACTAATCCTCTGTGTAGCCGGTGCGGCCTGCCCCAGACCTGCTATTGGCACTTTTAGTTGCCAGCCTGGGAGCCTGAGTCAGCTCGCCATTGTGCTGTTGCCCCATGCGCGCCCCAAACAGCTTTTTACGATTGTTTCAACACTTTAGCGCATTGCTCTTCTAGTTTTTTATGCAGTTGCCGTTGCTTTCGCTCCATGGTCATGTGCTGTTATCCCTTTTCATTGTCTTGTTTATACCCTAAAGCAATTGGAAATGCTTAAAAAAGGTATAATGGCTATAAGCCAATGTGTGTCAGAAGCAGAAGCAGAATGCGCTGATCTCCTTAATATATATATTTGTTAAGCATCAATGTTCAGGTCGATGCATTTATATTCTAAAAATTATAGGATCTTTGAAATACAATATATATACATATATAGATATTTTTTGTTAACCATTTTTGATTCGATAACTTTTGATCATTTATAAAATGAGTGTAAAATATTCGCGCTAGATTACATTTCATGTTGAGCTTAGCTCAGCCAAGAGAGAGCTTTGGCCCTCAGGCTATCTCCCAGTCAGGCAAACCCGACTCGCCTCGTTAGTTCATTCATATATTACCATCGATACAACCGCTGCAACCATTGCCATGGAGCCAAGAGCTCAGCTGGTTAGTCGCTCGCGGCTTCTATTCGCCAAATTGGGATTGGCTCATGGCTGTTGGCTCTCGTTGCTCAGCGCTTGGCGCTTGGTGCTCGGCTCTTGGCACTGGCCACTCTTTACTGGATAATGGGTGCTGGGTGCATGGTGTGTGGGTGTGTGGGTGTGTGAGTGCTGAGCCCTCCCTTGTGGTCTGTGGCTTTAGTGGCTTTTCGATTTGTCGACGTTGATCTCGTTACGCAATCGTAAAATGAAAACAAATGTGAAACGTATTGATAAGGCTTCTATATGTTGCTGCTCCTCTGTGGTGCTTTTCACATGTGTGCATGTGCCTGTGCCTGTGCATGTGCATGTGCTGGCTTACTCGCTACTATGTGTGAGCTATGAATAAATGTGCGATATGCCACAGAATGTAGCTTAGTAATGGCCGCATTTGGCATCCGGGCAGACGAGTTATGAGTGCAACAATTTAGTTCGTCTGCACAGTTGGATGGCTGCAGTCGAAGTTGGCGAGGGTCACGAGTGCCTGTTGCACAGCTGGATGGCTAGTGATTACAATGTTCAACGTGGACAGGATTAGCCGCTTTGAATAATTATGCATTATTCATGGCGCTATCTGCTGGCATGGCGTAAAGCATAAATAACATCAAAACATTATATGACTCGATGAAAAATGTTTTCCTTTCATTCCGGTCTACTCAATGAGCATTGCGAAATGTTTGTGGTTTATCCCGTCCTATATAAGTTTCAATTTGCCGCATTTACGACTGCTTAACTTTTTCAAAGCATTTAATGATGTTAATTATGTTATCAAATACACATTTATAAATATTTGTATACAAATATATGCATGTAGGTATGTATGTATGTATATGCATGCATGAAGAGCATAAATATTTAAATATTGTCTTTCTCTCAACTTTTTATTTATTTAACTATTTGTCGTTGACGTCATCCTCGTTGTTGTTCTCAGCGGTTGCCTGGAATGATGGCTGCCACGCGTTGTTATCATATTTATTTAATTGCATGCGACTTTGTTTCTGTTGTTGTTGTTGTTGTTATTGTGCTTCATGGCGGGCGGAAACGGAAGTGGCAGTGCCAGGAAGCGCGCCAACAAACACAAATGTCTGCTATTTTGAAGAATTATATACCCAGTCGAGAGATACACGGAGAGTGGGCGAGGGAGAGGGAGAGTGTGTGTGAGAGAGAGAGAGAGAGAGACAGGCATACATTCACATTTTAGTTACTCATATGAAAATGTTGCTGCTCTGCCCGCCTGGCCGTAGGCTAGAAAATTGAATCGCAACTTAGCTCGACTCGACTCGACTCGACTTTAGTCAACGACTCAACTCAACTCAACTCAAGTTGCTTTTGTCGCGCTGAAAAAGTTTTGTCGTTGCGTTCTTTTCCTGCTTTTATTTATATTTTATTTGTTGGCTTTTAATTTCTATTTATATTTTTTATTGCCTTAGTTGCCGCAGCTGCAACTCTGTTGCATAAAAAATTATGCTACTAAAGCACAATTTTACATGACAGGCGCACACTCACATGTGTGCGTCTGTGTGTGCGGCATGAGTGTGGTGTATGTGTGTGTGTGTGCAAGCGAGTGTGAGAGTAAAGTATTGTTTCAATAATTCTGGCTTTATGAAATAATAACTTTACTGCAAAACCGCTTCGCCGGCTGAGCAGCCAACGTCGAGTTGTAAGAATACAATGCATTGCAATGGGGGCATTGCCAGGTCCTCCCGGCCATCTAGCCCACGGCTTCTGTGTGCGTGTGTGTCTGTGTGCGTTTGTCTGTGTGTGTGTGCACTTTTGCAGCTGCAGCCGCGTTTCTCATTGCTTTTGTTGGCCCCTCGCTGAGTTTCCGCTGTTTGTTGTGCAGCAATTTTAATTTTTGCCAACTCTGTCGCATGCACAACACACACAGACGCACACACATATATGCACACACAATCATATGCATACATAGACATTTTGTGTGTGTGGCTCAGCTGCAGCCTCGTTTGCATGCAACACTTTATGAATTATTGCTGTATCAACTCAAGTCGCGGTAGTCAGCCAGCCACACACTCTGCGCGCACACACACAGACATACACACACGCACACACACACTTGCACACACTGGCACACACATGGGCACGTATTATGTCATTCCGAATTTCCGTTGCCTCCAGCTCTGTTGGAACTAACGGCGCTAGCGTTGGCGGCCCGTTCCCGCTTCCATTCCCGCTTCCTCTCAGCCTCCTCCAGGGCCACCTCATTTCCCCCACTGCCATCCCCACCACGCGCCGTTCGTGCCTACAGTTGCCCGTTGGCATTTCAGAAGTTCGACTGCCTAACACTGAACACTGAGGAGCGCTGAGCGCTGAGCGCAGTACGCAGTGCGCCAGGCAAAAACCGACCACAAATTTAGTGAATGAGATGTTTCCGGTGCGGTTGTTCTTCTTCTATTTGTTGCGGTTGTTGTTGCTGCTGCTGTTGTTGTTGTCGCTGCTGTAAACAATTTTTGGTGTTTGGAAAATGCATTGCTTTTTATTGTGCTCATTGTTGAGGACATGTGAATGCCGTGCCAGAGACTGGCGGGGATCTGGGATATGGACAATATCACATGGACAGACACGCCAGCTAGTTACCAGCATATATCTACATATATGTGTATATTCATATATACATACATTTCGTATAGCCACGTGCTGGCCTGCCTGTCTTGAGTACGCTTTGCATTTCGCAATTCCCATTTTTATTTATTATGTTCATTTGTGGCCATTTGTCAAACGTTTTGGCCAAGGCCAGCAACTGCAACAAATTTATCTGCAGCATAAAGTGTGCGGCATGCGAGCAGCATTCCCTCTGGTAAGTCGCCAGCCAAGCATTTTCATTTCACAAAGAGCACTTAGCAGCCCTGCAAGCATCCTAATCAAATGCCAGCCAAATCATAAGATATTACAGTTATTAGTTGTCAAAGAATTGCCAAAATAAATTCCAATGAGAAACTTACTTGCTCTAACGACGAAAGAATGATATGAGCTATGCTTATATTTGAATGGAATTTGTCAGTCGATTGGGTCAGTAATGAAAATTGATATGCAAACCGAATACAAACAAAAGCAAATCGAAATGCTCTTATGGCCTTAACTAAATTATGCAATTATTCTTTTATGTATGTATGGACTGTCTAATTGTGCGGCAGAGCTTAGTAATTATTTTTAATAAAGCACTTAGACTCGGCTACTGGACACATATAAATCATATATTTAATTGCTTTTTACACAGCCAAAGCGGATTATTCGTTATGGCTAAATACATATAAATTATTCAGCCTTCACTCAAAGTTGGGCTGCTCCCATTTTGCAAATGCACTTTGATAATTATTGATAACTATTGCGAATCTCAAATTTCTAAACAAAACTATTTCGCACGTGAAGGACTTGCAATTAATTTGCAATTCTGAAGCTGCTTAGTCGACCATGATAAAAAATCATAATTAGAAGCATATATCACACCCCATGCAGTGCTCAATTAAACTTTCGCGACTTAGAAGGCCAACAAGAACGAGCACTGACTCGCCCACTCGGCGTGCATCTAATTAACAACAGCCAGAGAGACAGAGAGAAAGAGAGACAGACAGAGAGAGGAGAGCAGCAGACACTGAGTTGCCTGAGCTTCTGAAGCAAGTCAAATGGCTCCTGCGGCAGCAGGAGGTCTGCTCTGGGCCCTGCCAGGCGCAAAGTTTTTGGCCACTTCTGTTGCCGTCTGAGTCTTCTGGTTCTTGCAAGCGGCAAGCGCCAACTGGAGAGTGCATTAATTTTAAGGGCACATTGCTGTGCATAAATGCGCGGCGGAGGCGTGTCGGGTTATTAACAATGTTAAAAGCAAACGCCAGCAATAACAACAATGCCCGGCCGGGCCACTAGAGAGAGAGCGTGAGAGTGAGTGAGAGAGAGAGATAGGACACTCCGCGGTGTGTGACCGACGCTGCCATTACCGCAAACTTAATGCGGAATAATTCCTTCCGTGTTGACAGTGAGCAAAAACTTTGCAGGGCACACATTTTTGGGCAGACCAGCATGAGTGCGAGGACCAGGCCCAAGCCCCAGCACAGTCCCGGCCATTCAGCGGCGAGGCTTGGATTTTTGTCTTCTTTTTATTGTTGCAGACAATGAATAAGCCGCAAAAGTTTTGAGCACTTGGCATATCCTATTCCTGTTGGCGCCTCCGTCGGCGCAGTCGCCAGCTCGGCTCAGCTGGTGGCCATGGTAATTGTGGCTTTTAATTGAAGATTGCCAGCGTGCCTGACGCTGTCTCTAAATTACAAATTTAATTACATTTAACATGATGATTATTATGCCCCTTTTTGTACAGTCGCAGAGCTGTTAACATCGCTGTTGTTGTTGTTTTTATCGCGACTGACATGTGACGTGTGCCCTTTGCACTTTGCCGTGTGCCGTGTGCCGTGCGCTGCTGCAAGGTACATTTCTATGTTGAATGAGTTTTGAAGTCTCGTGACGCGTCGTGGAGGGTAAATTCGCGGTGCGCCTTGCAGTTAACCCCGTGCCCTGTTCCTGATCTGCATACATTTACATTCCAATAACGCTCAAGTGGGCGACAGGAGAGCTCTTGGTCGGTCGGTCGGAATGTCTGTCTGTCGGTCGGTTGGTCGGCCGGCTAGCCATGTGGCATCCATACCCCTGCGCACACCCACAAGTGCATGGCATGTCAGGCACAGCTGCAATTGCAGTAGCTGAAGCAGCTGCAATTGAAGTGCTGTCCCGAGTGCGGCCGAGAGTCTGAATGCACGCCCACCTTTTTATATGATTCGCCCACCAAAGCACACCCACACACGCACGCACACACACACACACTTGGAGATATATATGGCACACCCACTAATATTTATGCATGTGCATAATCATAATAGGCGCGGGCTGAACTTTTCTCATTAGGCGTGTTTAGCTGCTTGAAATGATTTAGGAAAAGTAAAACAAGTCAAGTTATAATGTTTTAATCTCAATTACGGTACTTGCCATCATTTCGCCAGCAGCTCTCTACACTCTACACTCTCTATCTCGACTTGTCTTCGTTACCCCGCACAGCAAGTGTGTGTGTGTGTGTTTGGTGTTTGCCTTGGCATAACTTAAAAATTCCATTTCAATTTGCATTTGTGGCTCTAGATGGCCTTTGAATTCTGCCTTCGTTAGCAGCAGCAGCAGCAGCAGCTATCAATGTAAATTAGAAAACGTGGCGCTTCATTTCGATTCGTTGCCTTGGGATGTGGAACATTTTCTTTTCTCTGTTCTGTATTTGTTTTATTTTTTCCTTTCCGCTCACTCGCAAAAGCTGCCTTTCAGCATGACCAACATCTGCTGGAGCAAAGCTGCGAATAGCCTTCAAACTTAATTGCAAAGCGGGCTTGCTTGCTAAATCAGTTGCATTAACCAATGGACTATAACTGTCTCTCTCACTCTCCCGCTCTCTCTCTCTCTCCCTTTTCTCTCTGTGGCTTTTCACCTTTTGCGGTTCATAACTCACTGCACTCAAGTAGTTTGCTTGTTTCAAACACAGAAAGAGAGCGAGGGAGGGGCAGTGACCACGTGAGAGAGAGTGTGAGAGAGAGAGAGAGAGAGAGGCGAATTTGCATGAATAAAATTTAGTTTTGTACTTAATGCCACTTGTACTGCGCGCAGCCTGAGTAGGCGCACAAATTGCGAATTGATTCCAATGCCAATGTAGGAGTGCTTTTGAATAGTTTCCAATCCAGTGCCTAAATAAGCCATGCCATAAAAAGTATTGAGCAAAATAATCAACATGGAAAGCCCTCCCTCCCAATGCAGCTATAGACAACCGTAATCGAAATATTTAATTAGTGCGAAAATGCTTTTGAATGCCAATTAGTGGCAAATTAACGTTTCAACGGACTTCTCTCGCATTCATTGAGCTTTTCCTTTCTCTCACTCCTCTCCTCTCCTCTCGTTCTATTTTTTTCACGTCTCTCCACGTTGCCTCTCTTTGTCCGCCCAGCCACCCACCACATGGAGAGTGCAAATTAAAGACACAATCAGGACAAATTAATCAAGTCCGATTGCTACTACCGCTGATTGATGTGGCCTGCCTCCTCCTCCTCTTCGGGGGCCCAAGCCCGAACGGAAAGCTATACATATACAAATATAATGGGGGGAAACGGCAGTCAGAGATAGAATATGACGCTCAGAACGCAAATGCAAATTATTTTTATTAGCGCACAGTTCGCTTTGTTTCGCCATACAATATGGAAGCTAAAGCCAACCAAACAGCACTCCATCGATCGCCCTTCGCGCGCTGCCATTATTTATGATTATTTAAGTTTGGGCACTTGCGAATTTGAAAAATGTTTCATGGTGTGCTGGTAAATGAGTTTGGAAATTTTATATGCGGGCGAATGAGTTTTCAATTTATATTTCGTGTACACAAAAATTGTAAAAAAATCAGAAAAAAAGATAAATTTATTTATTGTTCATGGCGAATTCAATTTGGTTTATTTATGATTATATGACAAGCGATTTGTTTCCCAAGCAAGTGCAACATAGCGTAGGGTGCTCTGAGGTATATAGATGTATATATATATATATATGGTCTGGCGAATCACTATAAATTTTACAGGTCTAACTAAGCGCGTAATCGTAGCGTTGGAATTAAACGGGTCGAGCTAAGTCAAGCATTTCTCTTTTAATTTAGCTTCCGTCGTGTGCAACTTCAACGGGACAAACGTGTTCTTTAGAAAATATATATATAAATAATTGTATTTTATTTAATTTTTTTGTTTTTTTTGTTTTTTGGGTCTGAGCAGCATTTTAAATGCTGTCCGAAAAATTTTTGTCGCTTTGCACTCGAGCAGGAATTTATTGCGTACTTTGCGGCTGTTGTTTTTATTAATGAGCGCAGCACAAAGCGAATGCCGACAAGGATGCAGGCTCCTGCACTGATGAAATGATCGACGAAGGGTTACCCTACTTTTTACTATTGTTAATTTCAATCGGCAATTATTAAAATATTAATTTATTTATCTAGGTAATTTTAAGCAATAATATGCAATTAGGTATATATTTATTTGTATGTATATATTTATGTAAGGAACTAATATACCTGTTGTGGGCACATTGTGCAGGGTATAAATACAAACATGAATGCGAAAACGTATTCAGCGAGAGGTGGCGCTGCTTTAGTTGTTTCTATTCGCACCATAAACTATTTTGCACATTGCGCAATATTTCAGTTAGTTGTATTCGCACTTTTCAAATTGTGGACGACACATACACACACATACACTCACACATTCTGGAATACACAAACTGAAGCGCGACACAGCAAAATAAATTTTAAATAAAAACCGTGCATAACTGCCAGTTAGCATGGTCAAGAGAAACGGAGAGAGTGCGAGAGTGAGATAGAGAGAGAGCGAGAGGGAAGGTACATAATAAAAAAGAGACAGAGTGGCGCAGATTTAGAAGCTGCTGGCTGGCTAGCTGGCTGCCTGGCTGCCTGGCTGCTGTTATTGGTATTGTTGTTGCCGCTGGCTGCATTTGGCGCCCAGTCGCCATTGTCCGCATTTAAATAAATATTTACACAATATTTGAATGTTTTCGCATTTCCATTTGTTAAAATGAAAGCTTCGATAGAGCGAACGCGACACATGCGCAGCTCCTGGAGCTCGACATTTTTTCTGATTTGTTCGCTTAATTGACTATATTTCAAAGAGGAGAATAGGATCTAATACGAACAGCAGCCACAATAAATGTTATAGCCATTGCCATATATAGTGGATAGATCTGTGATCGTGCACTGTGTTTCACTTACGTCAACATTAATGCCAGCAACGGGAAAGACAAATGTGGGCGTGGGCTCGCGGGGCACGTAGCGATAGAACTCCTCTTGGCCAAAGTACCAGCGCACGGAGTAGAGCGCCGCCTGAAAGGAAGAAAGAGCGTTAATGAAAGCTGTGAGTGCATAGCAGGAGCTAACAGATGAAGAACAATATGTCCTCGACAAGGCCAACGAGCACAAGAACAAGAATGAGAACGAGAACTACGACTGCGAAGACAAAGTGCTAATAATTATAATAATTAAGCAAGCAATTGCCGTCAACAATGCTGTCTCCGTTCTCCATTCCATTCCGTTCCATTTCCGTTCCCGTTCCCATGCAAGTTCCTGTGCCCATTGCCATTGCAGGTGTCAGTCCGTAGTAGGAGTCCCCGTAGAAGTCTCACTTACCTTTTCCAAATCGTATTGGCAGGACAATGTTGCTGCGTTGCCCATGATGACGGCTTCCGGCACAAATATCTTCAGATCCTTCAGTCCATGAACTATGCAAGTGAGTGAAGAAAGAGAAAGAAACGTTCAGTGGGGCGTTGTAATCAGCTTATGGGGCATTCCTGCTCTCGTTGCGATACACTTAAGTGTTCGAGTGCAATGCACTGAGATGGAGCATACGGCCATTGCAGTCCATTGGACTCGTGCATGGAGCCCATCGCCTATGCCTTAAATTCGATTACGTCACGGCGTAAAAACTTAATTACGTGCTTTCAGGGATCGGATGCGTGTGCTGCTGGAATTGTGGGTGTCTGCAGTCGGATCCGTTTACAGGTTAATTTATGACAATGTATGTAGAGCCGCTGTTCGGCTTGAATTTAATGTGATTTATTTTCTTTTCATTCCCATTCTCATTTACTTTTGCGTTTTGCTTTAATTGGAAAATGTGGCGCAGGCTCTGTTAAATCATTAACAGCGCACATACGAACAATCACGTGGCGTATGAGTAATGTAACCTAATATAGTAAACGGCTCGGCATTAAAACGCAACCAACCAACATAGCCAGAGGGAAATCAAATGTAAATATTGCAAAAATAATAAATATTCTTGAATTTCGCATACGAATCTGGGCCTTAATTGGCAAGCAGTGATATGCATGAAATCTTAATTTCAATTTAATGAACTCTTCAATGCCGTGAAGTGTCTTACATAAATAATGTTTATTAAAACACGAATCTGTTTTCAAGTACTTATAAATCAATAATGTTATTAATGAGCGTCTATCTGCGACAGCGCCTGACTAATTGAAAGTTATATAACTCTTGAAATGTAGCTAAGCCCTTCTTATCACATATCAAGCTGGCCAATTGGTTGGCCGGCTTGTGGTCAGCCGAGCTATGAAAACTTTAATTGAACCATATTCATCATATGGGTTGGATGGATGAGTTCAAAAATTTTACGTAATATTTAATAAACTCACTGCATACAGTAGAGTGTGAGTGTGTGTGTGTGGGAGTTGACTGCAATGCATAATATTAACAGTCATTCGTTAAATTGAATAATCAATTTTAACCACATTTGTGCACGCAGTTGGCATAATAAATATTTAATGGAAAGCGTAAACATGCACCGTGGAGGGACGGACAGCGGGGCAGACAGTTGGATACATACAAATTGAGCTTAACCCGTTTACGCTTATATAACACATAAGCCGCACTTACTGATGTAATCATACTTACCGTTCAGCAATAAATCGGAGATTATAATGCAGCTCAGAGCCAGCATATTGAAAACGGCATGCAGAGCGGGCCAGCCCTGCCTCGGTCTGGGCATTCTAGAACTTCCTCCCACTCCGACGTGTCTGTGCATTTTTCGAGCTGAGCTGCAACGAGTCGGAGAGCGTAAAGAAAGAGCTTCTATGAGTGAGTAAAAGTTGCAAGTTGGATGGATGTAATCATATTTGAATGGATGCGCCCATGCTTATTGATAACTGGCCACGCTGCTCTCCAAAGTTGCAGCGGCGTATAAATTGTAGCTGCCGCTGCTGCTGCAGTTCCGTAGTCGCGTAACGCCCATCCTTTGTCAGTTTGACAACTTTGTAAGGAATTTAAATGACACGCGTGCACAAGTTTCAGCAGTGCCGACGTGCTTAAAACTTAAAAGCTGAACAACACACAAAACAAAAAAAAAACGAAAAGCCTTTGCAACCCAAACTCACGTTGGCGCTGCCATTGCCCAGACGCAGTGTGCTGCAGTTGCAGCTCGATATACTATGTGATTGACGAGAAGCAGCAAACGGTCTCTGACATTTGAAATAGATTGAAAGTGAGTGAGTGTGCTGTGTGCTTGCTTCTCCCCTCTGGGTGAGTGTGCCATTGGCAGCCGAATGGACAGACTGATGGACATGCAGACATATGCTCAGAAAGCTGACCACAGCATTGAAAACAATTGTCAGCTCCTGCTGGCTGCAGTTGGAACTTTGCTGATGACTTCGTTTTCATTGTTGCTATTGTTGTTGTTGCTGCTGTTGCTGCTGTTGCTGGCTTTGTAGCTCTTGTTGCTGGTGTTTTCTTGTATCAATTAGACCGCAATCGCAACAAAGAGAACAACATGAATTCGAGCAACTTTGTTTTGCAGTCGTGGCCACAAAAACAATAGCTAATGGTCGAAACTTACCAAATGTGCCAAATCGCCAAGGAACAAAAATTGATAATAACATTAAGGCATTAACTCAGGGCGAGCTAAGTACTTAAGCACGGCTCTAGGGCTCTCAATAATTTAGCTCTGTGGCAATTCCACTAAGCAACACATAAACATAAAGCTCTCTCAGCAGCTTAGAAACCATTTCAAAAATGAAAAAGAAACAAACACACACACACGCACACACACAAAATACAAATAACCAAAATACACAGCAACACACGGATACACAGAGAGTTTTGCGTAAATTGTCATTAGACTGGAATCGGGTCGAGTCGTTCGCCAACTAACACTACAATCACTTTGTGCTTTTAAGCGAAAGACTTCAAGTTATTGTCCCTTCGCCGCAAATATACAAAAACCAAATACAACAATGATGCCGTTTACCCAGCTAGCTGAGAGCTGTGAGCTCATAGCAAAACCCTTCGAGTTGCCGAGAAACCTTTCAGACATTTTCGGTTTCAAGCATATCGTTTTGCAAATTGTCCAGCAGATTGGGATGCGTGTCCTTCGATTTGTTTGCAGGCGTGCTCCTTGCTGCCTGCCAGCTCTCATGTGAGCATTTAAATTAAATTTAAATATTATTGTTGGCAAGTCGATTAAGTCCGGGTCATCATTTCAACTGTAATGTCTTTGTTTTACGGCCGTGAGTCCCTGGCACGCCACTCTGCCTCCCTCCCGGCATTCTGGCAGTGGCTCTTCGTTTTTGATGGACCACTACAGATGCAAATTCCTTGTGGTTGCCATGACCGTGACCTCATCCCACTCGGCTAACGTTGTGTATGGAAGCTTGATTGTTATTGTTGGTCGATTCTGCTGTTGCTGTTGCTGCTGCTGCTATTGTTATTGCGCATGCCATGGGAAATTGCCAAAATTTTCATTACGCATAAATTTTATAACAACAAATTCTCAATTATTTCATTATGATTTTAATTAAAATTTTCGATCGCAATCATAAACTTCACCATTGCAGTGTGTGATGACCAGCTGAGTAAAGCGCCCTCGAGCCCTCTATGTAAGCTATAACTCTGCGAACCATTTAGTGGGCGTGTTCACTTTGGGCCAAGGAATTTGCTCATATCGTTTCAAATTAATTGAAAATATTTGTTTTACATATTTCGAAAATTGTAAGTCAATATAAACTCGTTACCACTAATGGAAAGCTACTTCCGAAATGTATTTAAGCGGGGCTTGTTGATTCAATTTTAAATATTATGTAAACTCACAACTGTGGAATATGGAAAACAAAACTCTCAGTGATTAAACTTTACGAACGACTTAAAGAACAATGTAAGTATGTTAGGCGCCCCTCGAGTGGAGTCAAATACCAATTTAATTGATGTAATATTGTGTCTCCGCTGTTCTTATATGCTCAGGACTTTATTATCATTTTTCTTGATTTTTATGGATATGGGACATAAAAAAACGTTTCAACACTTAATAGTGCAATAAATCTTGATTTTATTCTATTTAAATATCATTTTCTCCACTCACGCTCGGTAAGCCGAAACGAATTCTAATGCCAAAATGCCGGAGATATAATTAAAAAGTTACAGCCAAGCCCAATAAAAGCTATGCGCCTGTTGTGTGTGTGTGTAAGAGCTTAACTTTTTTTAAACTGTAATAAAACAGTTGATTATGGCATCATTAACGCAAGTCTAAGCACGCCGGCGATATACCCGGAAAAATAATCAAATTAATTTTTTATGTATAAAGTTTGCATTTTACCAATAAGCGCGAACTCATCATAAACGCTTAGCCTTGGAAGCTGCGTGAAGCTTAACGCTAGAGCAGACGATGCTAGGGGGCGTAAGGGCCGTAGGAGGGCGTAGCCTACTTTCGGATATTCAAATTCGAAATTCAATTGAAAGTCAAATCAGAACAAAACAAACGAAATCCCGTGATTGACAGCATTTCAGCCGATAATGAGCACTTTGCAACAAGGTCGAATGGAGAGACAGAGGAGGCTGGAGAGGGAGCCGGAGATAAGTGAGATGAGCATGAGATACAACAGGATGTGTCAGCAGTGCCATCGGCCCGAGTCTATATGATATGGTGTCTGTACATATACTACGTGGACAGCTGCAAAGTCACTTGATGAAATTATTTTCTTTTGTGGCATAGAATGACAAAGGTGCAGATACGAAGCGAGCAGGAGCTACATAAACGGACAGAGAGGAAGAAAGAGAAAGAGAGTGAGAGATGGAGAGACACAGAGAGAACGAGTGTCAATTCACAGTTGGCTCTGGCGGAGTAAAGTGTACATTGACCGGTGTCCATGACGGAAGGCATGACGTGCAACAATGCTGACCCAGCAGAGATGCTGCAGCACTAGCGGGAGTTGCTCTCCATTGGTCTCCATTGCGATTGAGACGACTATTGATTTCAGTTCCAGTTTATTTAATGCCAATCTGTGCCATTTGAGCCTGCCACGTAGCCAATTTGCAGATAGGTATCGCCGATATCAACAGAAACTGGCTGGCTTAGCCGCTTCAGGTGAACTTTAATAACGGCAACTTGATCCGCTGGCTCAGAGTGCCACTTAAAGTGTTCAGGCAGGCGTGCCTCGGGTGCCTCGGGTGGAAGAGTGGCAGAGTGGCAGAGTGCCGCAGTGGCAGGAGGGCCATCATTCACTTACATGTATTCATTCATTTGTTAATCGCCAGCTGTCGGATGAGCGCACACATCTCCACGAAAACAATCATCGCAAGTCAAGAGAAATCGTTGCCATCATATTGAGATACATACATACATACCTACATATATATGCATATATATATAGAAAACAAATACTTATATAAAGCGCTAAATACGCATTTGATTGATGCGACACTTGCTCAAGGGCCTCTCATTAGGTTTATTGCCCAGTGTCTGCCGCATACACGATATCGCCAGCGATTCGTGTTGCAGCTCCAAGGACCAGGACTTTGAAGCCCGGCCTCTAATCAATCAATCAGTGTTTATGCTCTGCCTCAGCACAATGGCTGCGCAAAGAATGGGAAAAGGCGAATGAAGACGACGCGTAATGAACAAAGCGCAAAAGGGAAACTTGGCGAAACAATTGCTGCGGCTGCTGCGTCGTTTGACGAATGTCCCCAGGCAAATTCCAATCCAAATACGGAATACTATAATCGGTTCCATGCCGCTGGTTAGCCAAGCATCAGAAGTACTCCAGAACAAAGGCAACCAGCAGCAGACACCGAAAATTCTTCGTCTATGTTTGCTTTGTGCGGCGTTGGCGTTTTTACAACTTCCGTTTCTGGGGCAGAGAGTTCATCACAGGTTTCAGGCGAGGCAAAGGCAAGATGCCTGATTGCCAATGAAGGATTAATGCGTCGGTTGCTCCTGTTGCTGGTGCTGGTGCTGCTGATTCAGAGCGCTTTGATTGCAGCAGCGTGACGCTGCAGGCGACAGTCACCGGGGCCCTGCGGAAGCATTGTGTAATGATACAAAGGATTGCAAATTGCCAAGGCACTTCCTGGTAGGACATTGATTTCGGTTCGTTCACTCCCTTTTTTAGTTCTCTGTGTGCCAGTGTTGAGTGCAGGTCATAACTTGACTTGGCCAGCGAGCATAACCACAATCGGATCTCAAATTGTGGCATGACAGACTTAATAAGTTATTCGCCATCCATCACAAAGTGCTCGATCCCTGCCCACTCACCTCTGCCACTTGTTCAATATTTAATCAAGTGCTAAACGCGGTTTGCCATTTGCACTTGGAGCCCTTTCTTGTGCTGTCGAGTTATTGCTCAGAGTGCATGCGCTCAAGGCGGACGGAAGTGGTCAAAATTTGGTTAGCCCTAATGATTATCCGCTGCTAGTAGCCAATGCTCCGTTGTGCATACAGATCTCAGACCTCAACGTTGCATTCAATATGTAAATTGAATATACTCCCATTTTCTAAATATACCATATAGCTAATATTTATATTTATTCCGTTTAAAACAGAATACATATTGACAAACCTCGAGTCAGAAAAACTAAAAAATATATTGATTTAAGCTAAAAATACAGATATGATATATATTTAATCAGCATCATGGCTAAGGTCGATTGATTTCGACAGAGTTTCTATACAAGTTCTAAAATTTATGAGTTCTAGACAAACTGGGAGTAATACAATATTTATCTATCCCCCTATGAAAACAGATTAGCCGTTCAAGTGCAAAGACTGTGAATG